CATGAATAAAATTAAAAAATTGTTATATTTTATAAAAAAATAATATAATTTAAAATTTTACTTGATTTGTATGAAATATGTTGAAAGTATTTTATATGTTGAAAGTGTTTTATAAATAAGATTTAAGGAGTGTGTTTTCTTTTATGTAATTATTGTCAAATACTCCCTCCGTTCCTTATTATAAGAGACAAATAACCGAAGTACGTTGATCAAAAAAACAGTTAAAATTAGTTAAGAACAATTAATGTGCAAAAAGTATCATTTTTTTCCAAAAATGCCCTCATTAATAAGGAGAGAGAGCATGAGGGAGAACAATTAAATTATTAAAAGAAAGAGAAGTGGGAAGGAGGGAGAGTGTGAGTTGGAGATAATAAATATGGGTAAAATAGTAAATCAACATAAAAAAGTAGAGACAACTTGTAAGTGTCTCTTATATATAGAAACATGCCATAAGCATCAAATGTCTCTTATAATAAGGAACGGAGGGAGTAATTAATTAAAAAATAGTGAAACCTAGGCTGTTAGCTAGGTTGGTGCGCATGGGTGTTGCATTTAGTGTTGTGAAAGGGACATGGCACGATATACAGAGAATGGCGGGAATCGCGTGGGCCCATGAAAAGGTCTGAGCATCTGAGTCATTCACAAGTCACAAGCCGAATGAAGGAAGCACCTTTGGATTTGGATAAACACGAAGAGAGACTGAGGAAGAAATAGATATGATTAATGACACCTCATCTACATGTACTCCTCCTGTCAACTTATTTACAAGAAAAAAAAAATAGTTATAAGGTATTGAGCACAATTTTTTATGTAAATATATAATTTTATTTTTCATTTATTATTATAACTTTATTTTCATAAGGTATAATATATATTAAATAAGTATAAAATTAAAAAGTTATTAAATTTTAAATAAGAGTTAATGAAATTTAAAGTTTTTTTTTTGTTTGTGTGAAATATGTTGAAAGTGATTTATAAACAGAACCAAAACAGTATGTATGTATAACTTTTTTATAAGTAGTTTTTAAATCATGATTTACAAAATATGAAACATATGAAGAAAGTTTAAGTGATGCTAAACAAACACTATCTCAATACTCCTATAGTCTTATTTATAAGATAGAGAGAAGATATTTTTTGATCCTATTTATAGGGAGTTGAGAGAAATTTTTTGCATCGATATACAATTTTACCCCTCATTTATTATTATATTAATTTTGTTTACATAAGATGTAATATATATTAAATAGGGATAAAATTAAAAAATTACTAATTTTTAAATGAGAGTTTAAAATTTTTCTCAAGTGTATAAAATATATTGAAAGTGCTTAGGATCAGAGGATTATCATCAACCCCTCCAATCACATCCTCGCACCCAACTTTTGGGTTTGGACTTTTTGCTGAGCTTGTGATTCTTGTGCCCCTCACCGGTCTGATTTGTGTGAATTGTAATTAATATCAGCACTTCATTAATTTCAAAAGTGATTTTTGAAATAAAAAAATCAGTTTGTGCTAAATACTCCTCATATCCTTAATATAGGACCCAATTCTTAAGTTGGTTTTAGTCCTAAATATAATATATATTTATCATATTTATTAATTTTCTCTAAATTACTCCTATGGATATTCCCTCAACCATAATCAAGTAGAAGAGGGAGAATGAGGTATTAAGAAAGATGATTATGGTGTTTTAGGAAAAATGTGTCACTTTTTTTATGATTAACTAATTTACCTAACTTCCTTAATCTAATCAAATTAGTTAAATGGGTCTTATATTAAGGATCGGATGAGTATAATTTTCGAATTACTTATTGAAATAGCTCTTCATTCTTCCTTTTGATGAAATAGCTCTTCATTCTTCCTTTTGAGATTAATTTTTTTATATTTTGTAGAAGATAGTCTTTTTTCTATTTATTTTAGCAACTTGTAAACTTTGTTGATTTTAATATATTATTCTTTGCATAAGAAATAATATATTATTTTTCCTTTTTTAAAAAAAAGAATTACTTATGAAAAAGAGTTTTTTAAGCCAAAAACTCGGGTTGAAGTTGAAACAAGTTTTTAACTTTATCTTTTTACACACTTGAAGTTTGAAGGTTTTCAAACTAGCTTCTCAATGTATCATTTAAAACACATTTTTATCAAACTGATCTTAAATAAAAAGCACATTGAAATATAAATCACACATACTGATTTACTTTTATCTTAATTTTAATTTGCAAAGCAAATTAATTGGGATAAGAATCCCTATTTCAAACGATAATCCCAACAAACTCTAGTTTAAGAACATGTTACATTTTATTCCTATGCCTTGTTTCAAACATTCACATGCCTCAGTCTTTCTCATAATTTGTTTTGCTCATCACATGAGTCGTTTTTACTAGTAATCCGGCTTAGATTTAATTTAAAACATTTAAATTAAGTTTTTTGCTTTATATTTTTGTATCAAGAAAAATTCGTTTAAGATAGTATAGTTAATTTTTTTTAGGTTTAATTAGTAGTACTAGATATTAGGTGGTTTATTAAAAATATGACATTATGAAAAATTAAAACGGTTAGGCTTAAATTTATCACATAAATCTGAAATTTTCAAATTGAATTTAAAATATGTATTGTCAATTGAAGGAATTCAATCTCAACCAAATAAAGTTAATAATATAATGTTGCTAAGAAATTTGTCACATGGGCGAAAGGAAGAGTGAAAAAGAAAAGACCACATATATTCCTTGTCTTTTTATAATTTATTTAAGGACTTGTTTGGTTAAGATAACAGAAAGGAAGCCTCTTTCCTCGCATCTAATCATTTCCCTAAAGTGTAACTTTCTATGATTCTCTTATAAGCTTAGCCATGTTTTTTGTATACTCCTCTGTTTGGTATTATGAGATTATTTTAACTAAATTATATGATTTAAGAAAGCAGTTAAAATTAGTTAAGATCAATTAATATGTAGCAAATATAATTTTTTCAAATGTACCCCTATATATAAATGAGTAAACGTGAGAGAGTAATAGTGAAATAAATGAAGAAAGAGAATATATTAAATTAGAGGTAAAATAGGTAATAATACATTAAATACTCAAACAAATTCAAAGATGATCTTATAAAAAGGAATAGATCCATTCAAAAAATTAGATCTTATAACAACAGAAGGATAAAGTATAATTTAAACACATATATACACACAAACATATAAACATGCCAAGTTCGAGTTCTGGATCTTATCCAAACTTAAAAAGTCTAACTAGAGCATCATTTGATCCCTTTAATTTTTTTGTTTAGAAAATGGAGAATCAACATATATAGGTGCCTTATATCAGCATCAAAGGAACCTTTTCATGTGCTAGAGAGTTTGTCAGATGATATCCTTAGGATACTATAAATTATTATTGTATGTTACTGTTTATTCTTATTCCTTTGCCGTGGTTTCCTTCTGTTTGATTCGTTTTCTTTTGTTTGGTTCATTATTGGGTTCCAATAAAAAGTCAAAAGTTGATTCCCAAACACACCACCATGTGACTATTAATCTTCTATCTTCCTAGCCCATAAGCTCACCAACTACAGTAATTGACTTTACTTAACCATATCTACCAACCATAATTGTGACCAATTAGGGCGCGTTTGATCAAAATGTGGTTCACATGCTCTAATTTAGCAATAAATAAGAAAGTTTATCTTAATTATTTGTATTCGTTTTGAAAAATTACCAAAAGCTGAAAAAAAAAATCAGTTCAATGAGAGTAATTTGGTTCAAGCGGTCGTCATAGTCAGAATTCAACTTTTATGTCTTGATTCTGTTTCTATTTCCTCCGTTTTAAACTCGTGACTCTAAAAGAACAAATCAAACCAGCTAATTACATGCCAAAAATAGTTAAAAAATTAGTAATATATCAACTTTTCAAACCTTTGAATTTCTAGATTTTTTTTTTGTTCTAAAAAAATTAAAATCTCCGCCTATCTTTGGTCTAGTTGGCCACCTAATCAGGTTAGAAATTTTGCCATCATCCGACCGCATTATGTGATGAATGTATAATTTTTTAAGCTCTCTAACCAAGCCTCTGACTGAAGAAAAACCTAACCCAAGTAATCTATACCATTGGATTAACTGAAAACAAATGTTTCCACTCTTGATTTAAAGGATATGTCAAATCTTAAAATAATTACGTCGGCCACAAGCGTATGGAATCGAATGTAAAAATCAAGATATATTATTAATAACTTATGAATAATACACAATTTATTATAAATCACATGCATTTGGATACCATAGAATTCAACAAATTTGTATCTCATTCTTTGCAAGCCATTTGAAATAATAGCATACATGGCGTCCTGCACTTGCTTAAGACGGATGACTTGTGTTGCTACTAATTTAACCTGGTCCCACTTTATATGTGTTTAGAATAACTTATAAATAATTTTTCCAATCGTAATTTATAAGTACAACTGTACAAGATAAGTATGTGAGAAAAATTTCATCTCCATTTAAGTAACACATGCTTATAAATACTTATAATCATGAGGGGTCCTATTTCTATCGTTCTTAAAGATGCTGGAGTCTTTCTTTCTTTGTTTTTTTTTATTAAAAAAAAGATACTTATTTGACTCTTGTTCTGATTTCTTGATTTCTTCATGTAGATATTCAGAATACTGAGCAGAAATCATATTATGTCAACATCTGCAAGAATGATTGCGATGCTTTGTTTTAATTGAATAGCCAGATTCCACTCCTGTTCCGATCTCTAATAATGAGTATGAAGTTTTTTTTGGGGGATGGCTACAAATATGATCCTTTAGGAACAATATTTCCTTTCATCCCATACTTGCTGTGGAATGAGGAAACCAAAAATCAGGACGGGTCGAGAAGACATGTAATGAACAGGGGAAAAAAAAAGAATGTGTATATATATAATCAATTAAACTTCAATTGTAACAACAACAAAAAAAAACTAAAATTGTTTAATCAAGCAAAAGTTCTTTCTCTTGAAAGAGAGTAAGCATTGACAGGCACAGACTTGCAGCGGATATTAGAAATTTTATCTCTTCTAAGAGAGAATGGATCAACCCCTGCCTTGTGAGCTGCAACTACTCAAATGGCTTCCCAATAGTTTGAGACCCGAAGCTGCAGGAGATGTAATTTCATTAACCAAACTAGTACAGAAGACATTCGCTAGTGCAACGAAAAGAGTCCGGATAGTGGTTTTAACTTGAATTTGAGGGCTTCTGTAAATTTATTTAATTGTTTATCTATCTATCTGTCTATGTTCACTTTTGTCTTCAAATACTCTCAGACTTTTCGATTTCCCCCTTATTGAGCAATTTGCTGGTACTAAAGGAGCACTTTAAAACATACGATTTCTTGGATATTCCAATACAAATGGAGTAGAGAATTCAAATCCGCTAAAAATACATGTAATTCTACATGAAATCCTCCAAAAGGAAAATTACTGCAATATCTGACCGATTTAGACCCCCTAAATGTAGCCTGTGAAGTGATTCTGAAATAAGAGAGACAGAAAAGGAAGTGGACACTTATTCTCTGTCTCTCTCGCCCACTTCAAAGACACTTTAACATCAGAGGATCAAAATTCGAGACAATATATTGCCACATCTTTAAATAAAGGTTATATAAAACATCTTCACTTAAGATTAGGCCAGGATGAGGTCCTAGATTAAGCAAATCTTCATTTCACTAGTGGGGACTAAGTGCGCAGTATCTAGTCAACTATACTCAGCCAAGTAATATAACAATCCAGCTAATTCTAAAACTCCTGAATAATGACATTTGCCTGACATTTCTGAACATTATGGGTTCTGTAGCTTCCTGCTACTAAATCCAAAATGCTCCAGGTCTTTGGAGAGGGAAAATCATCCATCTCGGATCATATATAGGAAGTTTGTAATTCATCCTTACTGGAAATAATTAATCAAATACAACATAAAAATGGTATTGGTCGCTGAAAATTATCTGAACCATCAACTTGTGTTTAGTACCTTAAAGGTTCCTATCTCATCTTCTAACAGAAGAAATCTAAATTCCAGGAAAATAGATTGCTTACCGCTTCAATACCAAGTTTATCTGGGGTATCATTCAGCACAGTTTCATTTTCTTCCACAGTGATTATAAGAGGCTGCAAGAATATTAAAAGCAATAATATTGTAAGGGACACTAGCATAATGGAAATTGCTCCCGACTAATATCTGGACTGCAGATAGGATAGCGTGATGGTCAGAAGAAAGCTAAAATGCCATAAAGGAAAATTGTTCTTGTTTATTCAAAACAGAAAATAAATATCTTGACGTAGGATAGTGTGCAAGTTAAAGGAAAGCCGAAATGCCATAAAGGATAACTATCATTCCCTATTCAAATCAGAAAATATGTATCTGCAGAAAAACGTTGTATGTTCGAATTCATACCTTGTTTTTTCCACTTCTGGCAAAAGCAAGAGCCCCATCCCGTCCACATGCATCTTTAGGAAGGATAACAGAATCCACATCGCTTGCCAATATGCAGCCTCTCTCCATGGATTCAGAGTTCTTCACCAAGTATTGTGGAGCCTTACTGAGGCCAGCAAGCACACACGGTAGGAATGTATATCCTAGCTATCTAACAAGAGCAAGTTACTTATCACTCAAGACAAATCACAAGTACTGTTACCCGTGCAAATGCAGAGGATAATGAACATCAAATGACCAATTGAAGTAACTCTTTAAGAAAAATTTATACAGAAAAATCCTGTCAACTAATAGAAAATTTCAATCAATTACTAAGATGAGCAAACTTTGACAATAACACTATATTTTCATCCTAACTAAACACTCTACATTGATGTGCCCATATTTCAGTCACTGACAAAATGATAAACAATATAGCTCTGTAAAAATGTTGAACTAGTTATGTGCTCCAGGTTATGCACCGTTTCAGCATCCTTGGTGGCACACTGCAAAAGCATTGTAGGTAATCTTCACTTGCCCGTTTAGGGGAGTAAATTTGATTTATAAATGCATTTAAAGAACTTTTCCTAGCTTTCTCATGGACTGCACATTATTTTATACCAGCTTTTGTTATAAATAAATGCTATTTTTCTAACTAACAGCTGGTCAGTGAGTAGTTAAGGGATACCATGGATAGTGCCGTATGGGATTAGCAAAGACTGTTGATGGAATAGAATCCCCTCCAGACCCCTCACAATCAAGCGTGCCGCTTGGTTATTCAGATAATGCCAAAGGTAATGGAATTAGAGTATTTGACGGCAACATCTTATTTCTCTAACTTTAATCTGGAAGCTAAACTGGCAGCTTCGTTTTATTTCCTTTCTAGGTGCATTTCTCATTTTATTTCTATAAACAAACTTTTTCCACACACCAAACACTGCCTAAGAGTTAACCAACCTACTTGGCAGCTGATTTTGGGCATAGAGACGGGCTAAGGGGAAAAGGAAGCTTGTGCACGTTGAAAAGTCCTAACAACCAGATGGCTAATAACTGCCTCAACACCGGCCAAATTGTCTATTCCCTGAAAATATCAAAATGACGAAAGGAAATGTGACTATGTGAGTAATTTCACAATGAAAGAGAGGCAACAAGGATTAAAAAAGAGAAAGAGAAGCAGTCAACCAGCGTCAAGAATTTCTTTTAGCCTAATACCACTTGCAGAACTGAGTAAATTATATCCACTGCCATTAGTACATTTCTATGTCCAGTAACGATTATTGCCATACCATTCCCAGCCAGTAGTAATCCACTTCTTCAATATCATCATCCGGAAAACTTCCAACAACAGCAATGGCATTCACTTGTGACTGGTTCACTAAAGTTTCTACAGCTCCAAGTAAGGAATCTGGCCGTTTAATCCTCCCTGTTGATTGACCATTTTCTGGATCAATCCACTTCTCTACCTGTAAAATTGGATCCAAGTGAAATTATTGCATTTGTATTGGAAGGACCACTTGGAAATCAGAACTAGCTATGCCAGGGCAATTTAAACTACTCAGATATCATCATGCTACATGCTAGGAGTAAGAACAATAGACATATTAAGATCAGTAGATTTGAGAAATTCTTTTAACGCACGTTCAACTAAAGACATGGATAAAATGTGCAGAATCTTGAACTAAATATAATACTTAGAATGCAAAAGAGTGCACACAGAAGACACAAAATATGCCAAAAGCTATGCAACCATATCCTGAAATGTTTTCATTTAGTGATGTCCATAGTGTTTCACACACCAAATCCAAGGCTTGACGTGCATCTGATCTGTTGTCTGGACAACTTTGAAAGATGCAGCCAGAAAGCTGTGCAATAGTTGCTTGTGAAATAAATTTATATACGGTCTCCAGACAGATGGCATTATACATAAATTTGATAACAATGGACGCCATGAGAATGTCCAGCACCAACAGAGCCATTAATTTTCATTGAGGTACCCATGGTTTATAGAACTTCTAGATTCCCTCTAAAGAGAGAAATAGCTGCCATAGTTGAAACTTAAATGCTTAATTGTCAAGCTGAGCATGGACCTTGTGCTGCATAATTTCCACACCATTAAGCAAATCAAGATACTAGGGTTCTGAATACCTTGAGTGGGGTGTCAGTGACAATATATTCTACAACATTCAATCCAAGGGAAGCCCTTTTAGTCCAATATATAATTCATATGAAGTATAAGAACAAAGAATAATAGTCCAACATATAATTCATATGAAGTACAAGAAAAATGGCATAAGGAAAAAACCACCACTAAAATTTTAACACCACATGACAAAGCTAATTAAGGCTACAGCACAATAAGACCACCATAGAGGCATACCCGGTTTTGATGAACAAGCTGTAATGCCCATAAGCCTTCTGCGAAGTGGTGTAGAGCATAACCTTCAACATATAATGTATTTGGCAGGGGCCAGTAGAGCATTGCTGCATTAAGAACCTGTAAATTCGATAGGTCATAGCTAACTACAATAATTTATATGAAAGAGGACAGATAAGAAGGCATACAAGAACATTAGTTGTCAAAATGCCAATAAAATTACGATATCAAATATCAAAGGGAAAAACTACAAAAACAGCAGCAGCAGCAACATCAACGATAATAACATCAATGTCAACTTTTCGCTTGCATTTGTTAGGCATCATGAGCTCAAGTCTCAATTTTTCACTTCCATTTCCTTGAGGTAAAGAGCCATAGTCTCAAATAAGAGTAAATTTTATGTTATACAATAACAATCTGCCTTAATTACTAATGAAATTACCAAATAATGTGAAACGACTGCCAAAAGAAAGCTAACATCGTACTAAGACAGATTAGTAAATATCAGTTTATTGGGTGTATTAGATAAGAAAGTGAGATACATTAGGGTGAGTGATAAGGCAATCAACAACGTTGGAGAGGGCACGCGCAACCGGCAAAGCGTCGCCCGCGAATCCACCGATAGCAGCTTTGGTCCCCGTTGGCACTATCATAACGCTGGTATGCTGCTTGCGCGTTTCCAAAGATGTGCTTGGTAAAACCATGCTTTCATAAGCATTTTTCTGTAAAATGAGACAAACTCATCTATATATTTATTTTGTAAATCACAAAATCACTTCTGAAATTATGGTTTAGTTTTTATCTATATTTTTTTTAGAAGCACTTTTTTGAAATCGAAAAAAACTTTCAATATTAATTTCATATACTGTAAAAACATTTATAAAACTATAGTTTTGATGTTATCCTAAGACTCTCAACTCTCTTTGGTTATGAATGAATGCTGAGAAAAAAAAAAGTTTTTCTTTTGAAGAAGAGGAGGGACCTTAAAGGACGAGTGGGTAGAGTAAGAGCAGAAAATGGTTGTCTCAAAGGGAGGAGACTTTCGGCTAAGTAATGGACTCCGGTGAGCGGCCGAGCCTGAGAGTACCTCCATCGACGAAGGCTAAGCTTTAGCTTTTGAGTTCGAAACTTTAGCTGAAAGCTCAGCTCTGAAGCATAGGGGCTGTTTGTATTCACAAAAGCACTTATAAAAGCACTTGGTGGTGTTGGGTTCCTGAAATACTCTTTTTTATTATTATTATAAATTAAGATAATTTTTTATATATTTATTTCATATACCAAAAATTACTTCTGAAAATGTAGTTTGGGTTTTTATTCCAAATATTTTATATAATGAATTATGAATCCCTCAATGGTTGGGCCAATAATTTTCTATTGTTTTTTCAGGGAAAATTACTACTATTTAACAAGAAATGAACCATAATTAAAAAATAGTTGTGATATGATATTTATTAATATTTGTAATTGCTATATAGATTATTATTCCGGTATTGATGATGAAAAAAAAGCAAAAAAAAAATCATTCCGCTTTTTATACAGCCTTGCTCCTGCTAGGGTAAAGGTGTTTAAGATTATTCTTAGACATTTTTAAATATTAATGACAAAGTGTTACCTAATCTCTCTGTAATATGCCTGGTTTGATTTTATTAATCTGGACCCACTAAATAATTAAAATTAATTCTCTAATTTTTTAATTATCTTATTACTCTAAGAAGCTTCCAGGAGAAATGTACTGGTTCTGTAGCTTCAGTATATTATTCTTGATAATATCTTAATACTCAAAAGTTGTAAGCTTAATAATTCAATTCTAAGGATGTGATTTACTCCCAAATGCCGTAAATGGGTTAAATGACGTATTTGGGCCCAGAACAAAAGATTTGCATCATTAAAATTAACTCGAATAAAACCAATAGTTGTGATATGATATTTATTAATATTTGTAATTGCTATATAGATTATTATTCCGGTATTGATGATGAAAAAAAAAAAGCAAAAAAAAAATCATTCCGCTTTTTATACAGCCTTGCTCCTGCTAGGGTAAAGGTGTTTAAGATTATTCTTAGACATTTTAAATATTAATGACAAAGTGTTACCCCTTTGTAATATGCCTGGTTTGATTTTAATTAATCTGGATCCACTAAATAATTAAAATTAATTCTCTAATTACTCTAAGAAGCTTCCAGGAGAAATGTATTGGTTCCGTAGCTTCAATATATTATTCTTGATAATATCTTGATACTCAAAAGTTGTAAGCTGAATAATTCAATTCTAAGGGTGTGTTTTTTACTCCCAAATGCTGTAAATGGGTTAAATGACGTATTTGGGCCCAGAACAAAAGATTTGCATCATTAAATTTAAACTAGAATAAAACCCAAATGTCCAAGTCTTCTCAAATGGTCCGGTCCAATCCATGCGGCCCAAAATTATCTGCAACAGGGAAAATACGGACCACTAGCCCAATAGGGGTTTAAAGAAAGAAAGGTTTTTATTATAAGATTCAAATAACTGATTCATAGATAACGAATAATTAATTAAAATTGGTTAAAAATAATAAATAAGTTAACCAAATAAGGCATTGCATTCCCCACCCCTTTCTTGATGTTGAAACTGATGGATCAACTTGTTTTAAAATGGTGTTGGTAGAAGTAAAAACCATTTTTTAAAAGTGTTTTTAAGGTATATAAAATAAATATATAAAAGAATTTATCTCAATTTACGAAAAAAATATTTTTTTTAAAGCACTTTTAGATTACCCCAAACACCCCTAGGTTATTTGAAATTGTCGAAATTAGAATCTACTCCCACGCTTTGGACTTGGGCACACGCATAGTTCGAACTTTTAAGCCAATTTCTCAGCGAGCTGTCGAAAAGTGCTTTTTTATCGTAACGTTTTTCTAAACGTTATTCTTAATATTCCTTTTATTTTTTGCCCTGTCGCACCGGACACCATTTTTCTTTCCTTGTTTTTTCTTTTTGCCTGAATGCATATACCGAAATATAACTTCATTGTCAAGAATTTGGTGCAGTGAAATTCCGCTAACTTCAAATTATATTATTATTATTTTTTCCAGCAACTTCAAATTATTATTAAATCATCAATGGTGCACTAAATATTAAGTATAAAGTCCTATATTAAAGATAGAAAATTAATGCACCTACCTATTCAGTTCACGGGTGTTAAACATGCAAATATTGTAGTTTTTATATATTTTTTACTATAATTCACACAACCATTATATTATATGTTCCATAAAAAAAATCCAAATTCCCAACATCACGTTTAAAAAATATTAATAAAATTTTTTTGGTATCATTAAGTTATAACCCTTTTATATTTAAAGATCGAATATTAGACTACCTACCAATTCAATACAATAACATTTTTTTTTTCTTATTATTACTACTAGAAAAAAAGTTCTTTCATAACTGTCGGAATTGACATTTGACATTAAAAGACCATTGATATAGACACAGAAAGTGTTAAAAGTCTGATCTTCTGGTATAAAAAAATGTTACTTCTAAGTTTTAACTCCAGTTGATGTCTCAAAAACTTGCATTTACTCGATGAAAATATGTACATAAATAGGGTCTGATCCTAGGGTGTAGGCTAGGTCAGATTTTTTTTTGGTCAAAGGCTAGGTCAGATTAAAAAGCAGAAAATCAATGCTAATAAAATCTAATAACAGCAGCCACTAATTAAGGAGAGATACAGGGGAAATTAAAATTAAAATTAAAATTAAAATTCGAAGATGGGCTTCGGCCCATATTGGCAACAACAAATGTTATGATGGCAATTTGAAAACAATATTTCTGACTTTCTGTATCTGCAGACCCTTCCTACTGGCAGTAGGCAATACATGCAGGTAAAGAAGAAAGTGATTGAATTAACACTTCAATTTGGACATGGAAATGTAATAGGCTAATAGCATAATTTTTTTGGGCAATAATAGCATAGATAGTTGACCATCAGAGACACGAGCCCAAAAAAATTATTTTATCACTATGTGAAACCTATAAGCCTACATAACCCCAAGATTATATATAATCTGAATTTCCTAGCTGGTTGCATGAGAAGATCAAGAGGTTGAATGGCTGACTTTTAGCTTATGTCACCATACTTTTTGCAACCCATTATTACACACTTTTCATATTTACCCTCTTCTTTTTCTGCCAACAAGTCTTCTCTCCTCTCTCTCCCCCCCCTTGAATTTTTTTTTTTTTTTTTATTTTGTGTGTTATAATTTATAAATGATCTCTTATTAAATGAGATTTTTGTTACATTTTTTGCTACCTTGATTTTTATTATTTTTATTATTTGTAATTTTTATATATTTATTTATTAAATATATCTAATTAAATATGTTTAAGTATTTACAGATTTTTTCTCAATAATATATTAATTCCTTTTATTTTTATGATTATAATATTTTTAAATTTATCAAATTATATATCTATAATATATTTTTTTAAAAGCTTATGTCTTTTTAATCATTTTACATCCAAACTTATTATTTTACTTTTCATTCAAACAAGTTTCAATTTGTTAAATTGACTTTTCTGCAAATGTCAATTCAAATATAAATCATATCATACTGACTGACTTTTGAAAGAGTCAGAGTATAAAAAAGTTTCTTCTACCACTGTTAATTCAAACACACCATAAGTCGTTTCTAAGTATCAGAAACACTGAAAACCATCCTCTTCAAGAAATCGCATGCAGTGACAAGTTCTCAATTTGCAACACCCCAATCACATTGCGAAAAGACAGCTGAAGGATGGTCGCCTTGTTGCTTAGTCCATTCTGACATTACGTAAGCAAAGGAATTATCATGACCTTCAGCAGGAATAGAGATAACAAATCAATGAGTTGTCCAACATTAGGCGCACTCATATGAAACTGCAGTTGTGAAGGAATATTTGAAAAGTTCATCCCAAGAGCTACAGTGTGGAAAGATTTTTCGCCAAACAATTAGTTAACAGGGGAAGACTTAACTATCATGTCGGTTCCCTAAACTTACTGGTTTGTTTCATTTTGTCTCTTCATTTTCAATTCATATCGTAGTCACCCCTTAACATTAAATGGTCCCTTCATTTCTTTCTAGTGTATCAAAATGATCCCTTGCTTGTTATGATGTTCCTAAATAGTCCTTGATGACGAATATGGTAAAAATTGAAAGTTGAAAGACCAGATTGAAACAAATAACAAATTAAGTGACCAACATAATAGTTAAGGCAAAATAATAAGGGTAGCATGACAAGGCATCCTAGAAATACTTTTTGACTCTGCCAACTATACAGAATTTGAGTTGCCGTAATACCCGTACAAAGGGAAACTAAATCAATATAACATTCAAAAGGAAAATATAAGAACGGTGCAGAACAATAAATCCCCTTGATTTTACTCATATATCAGATAATTCAGACCCTTGAATCTTTTTATTTTTCATAGAAAACTAATTTTATTAGAAAGAAGAGAGAGAAATACATAAACGGAGGACCTCCCAAGACAGAAAAGACTAGACAAACTTCAGTTCAAAAGAGTTTTCTAGTCCCATTGCAGTGGTCATCTAAGCTCTTCTCCCAATTTCTTGGCCACTAATTGAATACATAGAATTTTAATTTGTCAGTGACACACCCCTTTGGGAATCTGAAGACAGGGCCTATAATGTCTGAAGTTTTCATTCACACAGTAATGTCCAACAAG